TGAGGACAAGGTACCTGACGCGGAGGACAACGTTCCAGACGCTGAGGACAAGGTTCCTGATGCTGAGGACAAGGTTCCTGACGCTGATGACAAGGTTCGTGACGTTGAAGACAGGGTTCTTGACGCTGAGGATAAGGTTCCTGACGCTGAGAAACAATTTCCTGACGCCGAGGAACAGGTTCCTGACGCTGAGGAACAGGTTCCTGACGTCGAGCACAAGGTTCCTGACGTCGAGGAAAAGGATTCTGACGTTGAGGAGAAGGTTCCTGGCGCTGAGCACAAGGTCCCGGACATTGAGGAAAAGGTACCTGACGATGGGGACAAGGTTCCTGACGCTGAAGACAAGATTCCTGACGTTGAGGAGAAGGTTCCTAACGTTGAGTACAAGGTACCTGACGCTGAGGACAAGGTTCTTGACGTTGAGGACAAGGTTCCTGACGTCGAGGACAAGGTTCTCGACGCTGATGACAAGGTTCCTGACGCTGAAGACAAGGTTCCAGATGCTGAGGACAAAGTTCCGGCTGCTGAGGAGAAGGTTTCTGACGTTGAGGACAAAGTTCCTGACGTCGAGGACAAGGTTCCTGACGTTGAGAACAAGGTTCCTGAGGCGGGGGACAAGGTTCCTGATGCTCAAGACAAGGTTGACGCTGATGAAAAGGGTCCTGACGTCGAGGACAAGGCTCCTGGAACTGAGGACAAGGTTCTTGACGCTGATGACAAGGTTCGTGACGCTGAGGACAAGGTTCCTGACATTGAGAACAAAGTTCCTGACGCCGAGGAACACGTTCCTGACGCTGAGGAACAGGTTCCTGACACTGAGGAACACGTTCCTGACGTCGAGCACAAGGTTCCTGACGTCGAGGAAAAGGATTCTGACGTTGAGGACAAGGTTCCTGATGCTGAGGACAAGGTTCCTGACGCTGAGCACAAGGTCCCTGACACTGCGAACAAGGTACCTGACGATGAGGACAAGGTTCCTGATGCTGAGGACAAGGTTCCTGATGCTGAGGACAAGGTTCCTGATGCTGAGGACAAGGTTCTTGACACTGAGGACAAGGTTCCTGACGTTGAGGAGAAGGTTCCTGACGCGGACGACAAGGTACCTGACGCTGAGGAATAGGTTCCTGACGCTCAGGACAAGGTACCTAACGCTGAGGACACGGTTCCTGACACTGAGGACAAGGTTCCTGACGTTGAGGACAAGGCTCCTGAAGCTGAGCATAAGGCTCCTGCCACTGAGGACAAGGTTCTTGACGCTGATGACAAGGTTCGTGAGGCTGACCACAAGGTTCGTGATGTTGAGAACAAGGTTCCTGACGTTGAGGACAAGGCTCCTGACGTTGAAGACAAGGTTCTTGACGCTGAGGATAAGGTTCTTGACGCTGAGGACTAGGTTCCTGACGCTGAGGAACAGGTTCCTGACGCTGAGGAACAGGTTCCTGACGCTGAGGAACAGGTTCCTGACAATGAGGAACAGGTTTCTGACGTCGAGCACAAGGTTGCTGACGTCGAGGAAAAGGATTCTGACGATGAGGACAAGGTTCCTGACGCTGAGGACAAGGTTCCTGACGCTGAGCACAAGGTCCCTGACACTGAGGAAAAGGTACCTGACGATGAGGACAAGGTTCCTGACGCTGAGGACAAGATTCCTGACGTTGTGGACAAGGTTCCTAACGTTGAGTGACAAAGTACCTGACGCTGAGGACAAGGTTCTTGACGTTGAGGACAAGGTTCCTGACGTCGAGGACAAGGTTCTTGACGCTGATCACAAGGTTCCTGACGCTGAGGACAAGGTTCCGGATGCTGAGGACAAAGTTCCGGATGCTGAGGAAAAGGCTTCTGACGTTGAGGACAAAGTTCCTGACGTCGAGGACAAGGTTCCTGACGTTCAGGATAGGGTTCCTGACGCGGAGGAAAAGGCTCCTGATCCTGAGGACAAGGTTGTTGACGCTGATGAAAAGGTTCCTGAAGTCGAGGACAAGGCTCCTCGCATCGAGGACAAGGTTCCTTACGCTGAGGACAAGGTTCTTGACGCTGATGACAAGGTTCCTGACGTTGAGGACAAGGTTCCTGACGCTGAGGACAAGGTTCCTGACGCTGATGACAAGGAGGACAAGGTTCCTGACGTCGAGAACAAGGTTCCTAACGTTGAGGACAAGCTTCCTGACGCTGAGCACAAGGTTCCTGTCGCTGAGGACAAGGTTCTTGACACTGAGGACAAGGTTCTTGACGCTGATGACAAGGTTCCTGATGCTGAGGACAAGGTTCCTGACACTGAGGACAAGGTTCCTGACGTCGAGAACAAGGTTCCTAACGTTGAGGACAAGGTTCCTGACGTTGAGGACAAGGTTCCTGACGCTGAGCACAAGGTTCCTGACACTGAGGACAAGGTACCTGACGCTGAGGACAATGTTCCCGACGCTGAAGACAAGGTTCCTGACGCTGAGGACAAGGTTTCTGACGTCGACGACAAGGTTCCTAACGTTCAGGACAAGGTTCCGGATGCTGAGGAGGTTTCTGACGTTGAGGACAAAGTTCCGACGTCGAGGAAAAGGTTCCTGATGTTGAGGACAAAATTCCTGACGCGGAGGGCAAGGCTCCTGACGCTGAGAACAAGGTTCCTGACGTTGAGGACAAGGTTCCTGATGTTGAGGACAAGGCTCCTGACGTCGAGGACAAGGTTCCTGACGCTGAGGACAAAGTTACTGATGCTGAGCACAAGCTTCCTGACACCGACGAGAAGGTACCTTACGCTGAGGACGAGGTTGCTGACGGTGAGGACAAGGTTGCTGACGCTGAGAACAAGGTTTTTCACGCTGATGACAAAGTTCCTGACGTTGAGGACAAGGTTCCTGACGCTGAGGACAAGATTCCTGACGATGAGGAGGAGGTTCCTAACGTTGAGGACAAGGTACCTGACGCTGACGACAAGGTTCTTGACGTTGAGGACAAGGTTCCTGACGTCGAGGACAAGGCTCCTCACGTCGAGGACAAGGTTCCTGACGCTGAGGACAAAGTTCCTGATGCTGAGCACAAGCTTCGTGACACTGAGGACAAGGTACCTGACGCTGAGGACAAGGTTCTTCACGCTGATGACAAGATTCCTGACGTTGAGGAAGAGGTTCCTGACTCTGAGGACAAGGTTCCTGACGCCGAGGACAAGGAGGACAAGGTTCCTGACGTCGAGGACAACGTTCCTAACGTCGAGGACAACGTTCCTGACGCTGAGGACAAGCTTCCTGATGCTGAGCACAAGGTTCCTGACACTGAGGACAAGGTTCTTGACGCTGATGACAAGGTTCCTGATGCTGAGGACAAGGTTCCTGATGCTGAGGACAAGGTTCCTGAAGTTGAGGACAAGGTTCCTGACGCGGACGACAAGGTACCTGACTCTGAGGAATAGGTTCCTGACACTGAGGACAAGGTACCTAACGCTGAGGACACGGTTCCTGACGCTGAGGACAAGGTTCCTGACGTTGAGGACAAGGCTCCTGAAGCTGAGCATAAGGCTGCTGGCACTGAGGACAAGGTTCTTGACGCTGATGACAAGGTTCGTGACGCTAACGACAAGGTTCGTGACGTTGAGAACAAGCTTCCTGACGTTGAGGAGAAAGCTCCTGACGTTGAAGGCAAGGTTCTTGACGCTGAGGATAAGGTTCTTGACGCTGAGGACTAGGTTCCTGACGCTGAGGAACAGGTTCCTGACGCCGAGGAACAGGTTCCTGACGCTGAGGAACAGGTCCCTGACGCTGAGGAACAGGTTCCTGATGTCGAGCACAAGGTTCCTGACGTCGAGGAAAAGGATTCTGACGTTGAGGATAAGGTTCCTGACGGTGAGGACAAGGTTCGTGACGCTGAGGACAAGGTACCTGACGATGAGGACAAGGTTCCTGACGCTGAGGACAAGGTTCCTGACGCTGAGGACAAGATTCCTGACGTTGTGCACAAGGTTCCTAACGTTGTGCACAAGGTTCCTAACGTTGAGGGAGAAGGTACCTGACGCTGAAGACAAGGTTCTTGACGTTGAGGACAAGGCTCCTGACGTCGAGGACAAGGTTCCTGACGTCGAGGACAAGGTTCCTGACGCTGCGGACAAGGTTCCGGACGCTGAGGACAAGGTTCCGGATGCTGAGGACAAAGTTCCGGATGCTGAGAAAAAGGCTTCTGACGTTGAGGGCAAAGTTCCTGACGTCGAGGACAAGGTTCCTGACGTTCAGGACAAGGTTCCTGACGCGGAGGAGAAGGCTGCTGATCCTGAAGACAAGGTTGTTGACGCTGATGAAAAGGTTCCTGACGTCGAGGACAAGGCTCCTCACGTTGAGGACAAGGCTCCTCACGTCGAGGACAAGGTTCCTGACGCTGAGGAGAAAGTTCCTGATGCTGAGCACAAGCTTCCTGACACTGAGGACAAGGTACCTAACGCTGAGGACAAGGTTCCTTACGCTGAGGACAAGGTTCTTGACGCTGATGACAAGGTTCCTGACGTTGAGGACAAGGTTCCTGACGCTGAGGACAAGGTTCCTGACGCTGACGACAAGGAGGACAAGGTTCCTGACGTCGAGAACAAGGTTCCTAACGTTGAGGACAAGGTTCCTGACGCTGAGGAGAAGGTTCCTGACGCTGAGCACAAGGTTCCTGACACTGAGGACAAGGTTCTTGACGCTGATGAGAAGGTTCCTGATGCTGAGGACAAGGTTCCTGATGCTGAGGACAAGGTTCCTGACACTGAGGACAAGGTTCCTGACGTTGAGGACAAGGTTCCTGACGTGAAGGACAAGGTACCTGACGCTGAGGAGAAGGTTCCTTACGCTGAGGACAAGGTTCTTGACGCTGATGACAAGGTTCCTGATGTTGAGGACAAGGTTCCTGACGCTGAGGACAAGGTTCCTGACGCTGAGGACAAAGTTCCTGATGCTGAGCACAAGCTTCCTGACACTAAGGACAAGGTACCTAACGCTGAGGACAAGGTTCCTTACGCTGAGGACAAGGTTCTAGACGCTGATGACAAGGTTCCTGACGTTGAGGACAAGGTTCCTGACGCTGAGGACAAGGTTCCTGACGCTGACGACAAGGACAAGGTTCCTGACGTCGAGAACAAGGTTCCTGACGCTGACGACAAGGTTCTTGACGCTGAGGAGAAGGTTCCTGACGCTGAGCACAAGGTTCCTGTAGCTGAAGACAAGGTTCCTGAAGCTGAAGACAAGGTTCCTGATGCTGAGGACAAGGTTCCTGATGCTGAGGACAAGGTTCCTGACACTGAGGACAAGGTTCCTGACGTTGAGGACAAGGTTCCTGACGTGGAGGACAAGGTACCTGACGCTGAGGACAAGGTTCCTGATGCAGAGGACAAGGTACCTAACGCTGAGGACACAGTTCCTGACGCTGAGGGCAAGGTTCCTGACGTTGAGGACAAGGTTCCTGACGCTGAGCACAAGGCTCCTGGCACTGAGGGCAAGGTTTTTGACGCTGATGACAAGGTTCGTGACGCTGAGGACAAAATTCCTGACGTTGAGAACAAGGTTCCTGACGTTGAGGACAAGGTTCGTGACGTTGAGGACAAGGTTCCTGACGTTGAGGACAAGGTTTCTGACGCTCAGCACAAGTTCCTGGCACTGAGGACAAGGTACCTGACGCTGAGGACAAGGTTCCTGATGCTGAGGACAAGGTTCCTCACGTCGAGGTCAAGGATCCTAACGCTGAGGACAAGGTTCCTGACGTTGAGGACAAGGTTCCAGACGCTGAGGAAAAGGTTGTTGACGGTGAGGACAAGGTTCCTGACGCTGAGGACAAGGTTCCTGACGCTGATGACAAGGTTCCTGACGTTGAAGACAAGGTTCTTGACGTTGAAGACAAGGTTCCTGACGCTGAAGAACAGGTTCCTGACGTCGAGCACAAGGTTCCTGACGTCGAGGAAAAGGTTTCTGACGTTGAGGACAAGGTTCCTGACGCTGAGCACAAGGTTCCTGACACTGAGGACAAGGTACCTGATGCTGAGGACAATGTTCCTGACGCTGAAGACAAGGTTCCTGACGCTGAGGACAAGGTTTCTGACGTCGAGGACAAGGTTCCTAACGTTGAGGACAAGGTATCTGACGCTGAGGAAAAGGTTCTTGACGCTGATGACAAGGTTCCTGTCAATGAGGACAAGGTTCTTGACGCTGATGACAAGGTACCTGACGCTGAGGGAAAGGTTCTTGACGCTGATGACAAGGTTCCTGTCAATGAGGACAAGGTTCCTGACGCTGAGTACAAGGTTGCTGATGCTGAGGACAAGGTTCCGGATGCTGAGGAGGTTTCTGAAATTGAGGACAAAGTTCCGACGTCGAGGAAAAGGTTCCTGATGTTGAGGACAAGGTTCCTGACGGGGAGGGCAAGGTTCCTGACGTTGAGAACAAGGTTCCTGACGTTGAGGACAAGGTTCCTGACGTCGAGGACAAGGCTCCTGACGTTGAGGACAAGGTTCCTGACACTGAGGACAAAGTTCCTGATGCTGAGCACAAGCTTCCTGACACTGACGACAAGGTACCTTACGCTGAGGACAAGGTTGCTGAGGCTGAGGACAAGGTTTTTCACGCTGATGACAAGGTTCCTGACGTTGAGGACAAGGTTCCTGACGCTGAGCAGAAGGCTCCTGGCACTGAGGACAAGGTTCTTGACGCTGATGACAAGGTTCGTGACGCTGAGGACAAGGTTCCTGATGCTGAGTACAAGGTTCCTGACGTGGAGGACAAGGTTTCTGACATTGAGGAGAAGGTTCCTGACGCTGAGGACAAGGTTTCTGACGCTCAGCACAAGTTGCTGACACTGAGGACAAGGTACCTGACGCTGAAGACAAGGTTCCTCACGCGGAGGACAATGTTCCTGACGCTGATGACAAGGTTCCTGACGTTGAAGACAAGGTTCTTGACGCTGTGGATACGGTTTTGACGCTGAAGACAAGGTTCCTGACGCTGAGGAAAAGGTTCCTGACGTCGAGCACAAGGTTCCTGATGTCGAGGAAAAGGTTCCTGCCGTTGAGGACAAGGTTCCTAATGCTGAGGACAAGGTTCCTGATGCTAAGCACAAGGTTCCTGACACTGAGGACAAGGTTCTTGACGCTGATGAGAATGTTCCTGACGCTGAGGACAAGGTTCCTGACGTTGAGGACAAGGTTCCTGACGTTGAGGACAAGGTTCCTGACGTCGAGGAGAAGGTTCCTGACGTTGAGGACAAGGTTTGTAATGCTGAGAACAAGGTTCCTGACGCTAAGGACAAGGTTCCTGACGCTGAGGACAAGGTTCCTGACGCTGAGGAGAAGGTTCCTGACGCTGAGGACAAGGTTCCTCAGATGCACGGAGGTCGTCGTACATGCTCGTCACTCAAACTTGTAAGTTATGATGTAGTTTTTATTTGACAGCTAGAGAAGTGAGAGAACTTAAAGCGTAGATACTGTACCATGTATTAAACATGCTCTTAATAAACCTATTACTATTATATTATTTTATTTGAATCTAGTTTTTCGTGAAATTGCTTTTTTTAAGACACGTGAATCGTGAAACGGCTTTTTTTTGTTGTGAAACGTGATCCATACTCCCTCCCCCCTTTGCCACCCTCAACTTTCGCTGATTTGCACGAGGGGCGTGTTCATTACATCAATATAAAAATATATACAAAAATATTTACAAAAATTAACCTATTAGTATGGCTTCCTTCAGCCAAGGATTTAGGATTAATAAGGGACACCAACATGTCATACGATTGCCATATCTCCGAATTAGTCTCCTCTTGCATGTCCAAATTGTCACAGATCAACCGAGTAAGCAAATATTTTGATAAAGAAACTATATCCCTCTTGGTATCAGCATTGGTAATGAACAAACTCCTTTATTGCTCCTCTGCTTGGTCGGACACTTTGGCCAAAAATATTAAGAAGCTACAACTGGTACAAAACTTCGCGTGCAGGATCGTGACAAACAGCAAGAAGTTCGATCATATCTCACCAAAACTGCGAGAACTGAATTGGCTTCCAGTTTAGGAACACTTTCTTTGTAGAGATACAGTTTTGATGTACAAGTGTATTAACAATTTAGCCCCACCTTACTTGTGCAATAAATTTAGTGAACGATCAAATATACATGAATGTAACACTCGTAACCGAAAGCTCCTCCAAATACCGATTTAAAATACCACCACTGGCCAGAGAACATTTCATTATGGAGGGGCGAAACTATGGAATGATCTGGACAATAACACGAAACAAATGCCATCTTTGAGAAGTTTTAAGAATAAATTAAAGAAAGACATGTTAGACAGACTGTATTCTTAGTAATGGACTATTTTAATAATAGAAGATTTTTCCTAGTAAATTTTTAAATATGTAATCTTAACCTTGTTTTTTAATCACCATTCCATGTAAATTAGTGTTGAAAAGCCTCTTTGAGGAACACAATAAAGTATGTATGTATGTATGTATGTACAATAACTATATTTACAATAAGTTACGTGAAATTGTGAGGAGTAATTCCATTTCTAAATATCAGCAATGAATCCGAATCACACAAATCTGGGGGTGAGGAAATCCACAATTTCGCCCCATCATCACTTTTTTTTAGATTATCGGTTCTGGGAAAGGTATTTGCAGAGAGGTAGTGGAGCCCCTGAGCTCATAATCTGTGATGTCACTTTTGCGCACAAAAAGATCGACAACTGCGTTTGGAAACAAATCATTAAAAACTTTATACATTTGAATTGCTTTTGATTTGGTTCGTTGAGACTCCAAGAGTATACCACCCTAAAGCAGAAATTGCTTCTAATCCAGGGGTATCATTTTTCATAGTCATTATTATCCTTGCAACTCTATTCTGAAATTTTTGAAGTCGAGTTGAAAGACCAATGCCCAGGGTATCCCATACCTCACTGCAATAATCAAAATGAGGACGAACTAATGCATTGTAGATAGCCGATCAAGGTTTCTCTATAACTTCACTATACTTTTTAGCCACGGTGGTCTGTGGCTAAAAGGTATATCAGATTTCACTATACTATTAGCCACGGTGGTCTGTGGCTAAAAGTATATCAGATTTCACTATACTTTTTGCCACGGCGGTCTGTGGCTAAAAAGTATATCAGATTTCACTATACTTTTAGCAACGGCTGTCTGTGGCTAAAAGTATATCAGATTTCACTATACTTTTAGCCACGGTGGTCTGTGGCTAAAAGTATATCAGATTTCACTATACTTTTAGCCCCGGCGGTCTGACTGAAAAGTATAAAGCAGATTTCACTACACTTTTAGCCACGGTAGTCTGTGGCTAAAAGTATATCAGATTTCACTATACTTTTAGCCACGGTGGTCTGTGGCAAAAAGTATATCAGATTTCACTATACTTTTAGCCCCGGCGGTCTATGGCTGAAAAGTATATATCAGATTTCACTATACTTTTTAGCCACGGCGGTCTGTGGTAAAAGGTATATCAGATTTCACTATACGTTTAGCCACGGTGGTCTGTGGCTAAAAGTATATCAGATTTCACTATACTTTTAGCCACGGCGGTCTATGGCTGAAAAGTTTATATCAGATTTCACTATACTTTTTAGCCACGGCGGTCTGTGGCTAAAAGTATATCAAATTTCACTATACTTTTAGCCACGGTGGTCTGTGGCTAAAAGTATTCCACATTTCACTATACTTTTAGCCATGGCTGTCTGTGGCTAAAAGTATATCTTGCTAAAAGTATATATCATAAAAGTTTATGTATCTTGTCTTTTCTGTAACACTATTTTATTTTGTTTGTTTATTTGTGTGTTATTTGGTGTAAAAAATTTTATATATCCTTTTTTTTGTGAGCCCCCTCGATAAGCATGGCTTTTGGGGCAAACAGCTAAATAAAGTTTATATAAAAAAAAGTATATCAGATTTCACAATACTTTTAGCCATGGCGGTTTGTGGCTAAAAGTATATCAGATTTCACTATACTTTTCAGCCACGGTGGTCTGTGGCTAAAATTAAGTATATCAGTTATCCACAAAATCTCGGATTCTTCTTATTGCTCCTATGTCGGAAGTAGCCTTTTTGGTTGCGTTTTCAACATGCTTGCTCCAAGACAATTTTTCATCAATTTCAACCCCAAGTAGTCTACTATGGTGAACTTGCTTAATTTTGTCTTGATCTAATTTTATATTCAGCTGTTTGGTAAGGTTCTTTAATCTATGACTTGAACCAATAAGTATAAATTCGGTTTTTCAAGCATTGAGACTCTATTTATTTGCCAAAAAGCCATGCATTTACACAAAGAAGATCATTATTCATGGCCAACTCAGCCTCCTCTATGGACTCACCAGCTACCGAAAGATTGCTGTGATCAGCAAATAACCAAGGGGTTGTTTGATTAAGACATTCCGGAAGATCATTAATGTATAAAAGGAAGAGAAGTGGACCAAGAATGGATCCCTGAGGAATGCCGCACGACACATTCCGCTCGGATGATACTACATCTCCTAGTTAGCATTTCTGTTTGCGATCAGTTAAATATGATTGCATCATGGTTAAGGCGCTGCCAGTGATACCGTATAACTGAAGTCTGAAAAGGACCATTCCCCAATTAATCAAAATTTTGATCTCAACAAGTCTGGACAAAATTCCATCATAGCATGAAAGAGCATCGCAAAATTAGTAATATTCCAAAGTTTCGCTGCAAAATGTTGTCATTTTGTCATTAAGTCATTTTGCATTACACACAGAAGTGGTAACCGTTTCCCGTTTGTAATCTAAAATGACTGAAAATTGCAAACTTCGCAAGGCTATATTATCCGCATTTTACAACATTTTGCAACGAAACTTTGGAATATTACTAATTTTGTGATGCTCTTTCAAGATGTGATGAAAGTTTTGTCTAGACTTGTTGAATTTAAGATTTTGGTTAATTGGGGAAAATTTATTCCAAAATTAGCAAAATTACGCCAAAATTACGCCGTTCTGTGCCCTTTAATTTTACTCAACTCTTGAAGTTGGAACTCAAATTACTCCTTGAAATTACTAGCCTGCGAACAGGCTCTCAAGCTGAATTGAGAGCCTGCATCGATGACTAATGAATTTGAATATCTGCCCCGTAACGTTCGTTTTTCCAAATATGGAATGTCTATCCTTATATGGTGTTGTTTACAACTTTCGTGCAAACTAAATTTAGACCGTGCAAACTAAATTTAGACCGTACAGTTTATACTGTTTTTCGAAATATAAGATATTCAAGCAAAAGTTTAAATGTTTTAAACACTGTTTTCTCAAAACAGAACATTTCGTGCTTTGAGATAAGATGGCCAAGACCAATTTGATCAGTTAATGTGTACTTTATGCATAGTGCCAGCAGTTGACATATATAGAGCTCAGCGGAATAATATAAATTATAGCATCTGACCAATGAGAATTTCGCGTCACGATTTGAGACGCAGATATTCAAATTCATTAGTCATCAATGCAGGCTCTCAATTCAGCTTGAGAGCCTGTTCGCAGGCTAATAGATATCTTATATAGACTAGATATCGCATCTCTTTTAGTAAAATTGAGGTCAAGAATATTCCAGCGGTTACCCCCATTTGAATAGATGGCGGTCATGTTGGTGTTTCCCACTCGCTAATAAACACTTAAAAAACAACAATAACTTTCATCATTTGAATAGTTTAAAAATGCATTTGGAATAGGTTTACCCAATCTCGTACCCAGAGTATGCCCGATCGCAGGTTAGGTGCTGGGCATGATCAGCACTTAACCTGCGAACGGGCATACTCTGGGTACGAGATTGAGGTTTACCTTAATATTTAAGTTCCGTGTTTAAGAAATAGAAAACATACGAATCTTCTCATTTCATGGGAATATACCGAGTCTGGAATCAAAGCTTCAGTTTTTGAATTGTAGAATAATTAGATACACTATCTAGTGTATATAAGATATCTATGATTTGACCCCAGGTAGTCTTTGTAGCCCCTGCTTCGACCCCAGGCCCAAGCTAGGTTACCCCACCCATCGCCATCTTTATTAGCTCCTAGTCCAGAAGCACGCGCTGAACGAAATAAGCCCCTCCCTCCCCCCTTAATGAAATCATTCTCAATACATACCTGGTCAAACGAGAATTTGAGTTGCCAGTACGAATTCGTACACGGGATATTTCATGTTTTACGAAAAGTTTTGAGAAAATAAAGTTTTGACGAATGTTCCAACGTGCTTTGAATACAAATACGTGATAGTGTTGGGAAAACATTAAAAACAGCTAACGAAGGTTGCGCGTCTAACAACGTTACTCTCTCTCAGACTCTTTCCTCCGCAGATGTTATTTATTCTATTTATAATGTTCTTCAGTTCTCTGCGGATAGTTCTCGCACCGAAGAACACTATAAACAATAACCTTTTTTCTCTAGCTTGTGTAATTAATGTTCGACACATTTCAAGGCACAAAATGAACCAGAATGGTACATTACACAACATGTAGTCTTGACCACTAGACCACTTGCTCGTTGATGCAAGGCTTCCGCAACTTATTCAGCTTCGTCTTTTCTCTCTAGCTTGTGTAATTAATATTCGCCACATTTCAAGTCACAAAATGTCTTCTGCAGGCTTTGAACCGCAATGGTACATTACACAACCTGTAGTCTGTACCACTAGCCCACTTGCTAGTTGTTAGAAGCCTACCGCAACTTATTCACCTCTACACATTGCAAGTCCCAAAATAACTTCTGTATGATTATGACTGTATGATTTTGACTTATTTAAACGAGTTTTAAACGAACATAAATTACTGAATTTCTTAATTTCAGTTGGTATAAGCTGTTCCAAAGTTTTGCTGACCTGATAAATAAGAGTTTTGACAGTATTCCTGATTATGTTTTATAATGAGGTGGAAGTTGATAGCCAGGGTTGTAAGTGCATAAATAAGGACTTGAATCACAATCTGTAGGACTTGAATCACAATGGTACATTACAAAACATGTAGTCTTTACCACTAGACCACTAGCTCGTTGTTGGAAGCCTATGACAACTTATTCACCTTAACCTTTTTTCTCTTGCTTTTGTCAGTAATAAGTATTTTACATATTTCAAGTCACAAAATGATCCACAATGATACATTACACAGTATGTAGTTTTGACCACTAGACCACTTGCACGATGATGAAAGCAAAACGCAATTTATTCAGCCTAGCCTTTTCTCTCTAGCTTGTGTAATTAATATTCGACACATTTCAAGTCACAAAAGAACTTCTGTAAGGCTTGAATTGCAACAGTACATTACCCAACATGTAGTCTTTATCACTAGACAACTTGCTCGTTGATGAAAGCATATTGCTTCTGTAATTAATATTCTACACGTTTCAAGTCACAAAATGATCCACAATGATACATTAAAGAGCATGTAGTTTTGACCACTTGAACGATGATGAAAGCAAAACGCAATTTATTCAGCCTAGCCTTTTCTCTCTAGCTTGTGTAATTAATATTCGACACATTTTAAGTCACAAAATGATCCAGAATGGTCCATTACACAACATGTAGTCTTTACCACTAGACCACTTGCTCGTTGATGCAAGCCTATCGCAACTTATGCAGCTTAACCTTTCTTCTCTAGCTTGTGTAATTAATATTCGACACATTTTAAGTCATAAAATGATCCAGAATGGTCCATTACACAACATGTAGTCTTTACCACTAGACCACTTGCTCGTTGTTGGAAACCTATCGCAACTTATTCACCTCAACCTTTCTTCTCTAGCTTGTGTAATTAATATTCGACACATATTAAGTCACAAAATGGCTTCTGTAGGACTTGAACCACACCTGGTACATGACACAAGCCTATTGCCTTTACCACTAGACCACTTGCTCGTTGATACAAGCCTACCGCAACTTATTCACCTTAATCCTTCTTCTCTAGCTTGTGTAATTAATATTCGACACATTTTAAGTCACAAAATGGCTTCTGTAGGACTTGAACCACACCTGGTACATGACACAAGCCTATTGCCTTTACCACTAGACCACTTGCTCGTTGATGCAAGCCTACCGCAACTTATTCACCTTAATCTTTCTTCTCTAGCTTGTGTAATTAATATTCGACACATTATAAGTCACAAAATGATCCAGAATGGTCCATTACACAACATGTAGTCTTGACCACTTGACCACTTGCTCGTTGTTGGAAGCTTACCGCAACTTATTCACCTTAACCTTTCTTCTCTAGCTTGTGTAATTAATATTCGACACATTTCAAGTCACAAAATGATCCAGAATGGTCCATTACACAACATGTAGTCTTGACCACCTGCTCGTTGTTGGAAGCTTACCGCAACTTATTCAGCTTTAAGCCTTTTCTCTCTAGCTCGTGTAATTAATATTCGACACATTTCAAGTCACAAAATGACTTCTGCAGGCTTTGAGCCGCAATGGGGACTGTGGAAGAGTCAGCCGCAATGGTACATTATGATAGGCCGCTTGTTCGTTGATGGGGTTGATGAAAGGATATTGCAAATTATTCACCTTAACCTTTTTTCTCTAGCTTATGTAATAAATATCCTACAGATTTCAAGTCACAAAATGACTTCTGTAGGACTTGATCCACAATCGTACGTTACACAACACAGGTTCCAAATGGCATTTTACTTGTGCCTAGGGTTAAGTATTCAAAAAATTAATAGCCCAATTTTCTTAGTTTTCAAGTCCCCCCCCCCCGCCTAAATATTTTTTTGGGAGTGACGTGTGAGAAGCTTGTAACTTATAAGGCTAATTAGCCTTATGAATTAATTAGCCTTATGAATTAATGTATGATACATGTTTTGACATGTATTTAGGAATATATGGGTGTAAAGTATAGTCCATTTTACAGGTTTTCATGTTTTGGTACCAGTACTGATGGAAATTGGTATAACTGCACTATAAAAATTATAATTAATGACAATTGCAATACCTGTACAATTACAATACCGTGTTTCTGCTGGGGTCTACACCCGCAGGGCCTTTTTTAACATACAAGCTGGGTGGGGCAAATGCCCTCCCCCCAGTCCCCACTTGTGCCCCCCAGTCCCCCCTAATTGTGCCCCCCCCCCACAAAATCACATTTTGCCCTCCACCCCACCCCTAAGGAAAAGTCCCTTTCTCGTAGAATTATACAAACAAACCAGCGAAGAATAACAAATCGGATAAACGGAAAGAAAGTTTTAGGCTTTATCCTTTATCGATTTAAATTGTTATGTTTTTCTACCACTAAGTAATGATAAATTATTGTTAATAATTTTTTTATTTTTTGGATGCTCAGAATGCAGGAAATAGTACTTCCGGGTTTCATATTTCAAAACTTTTCTGGGGATTATGCCCCCACACACGTGGCCTTCGGCCATTGGTATCCCCTCTAATAAGTAATGATAAATTACGGTTAATTACTTTTTGTGCGTTTTTTCCTTCCTTTATTTCAAATACAAGTATAGTTAGCATAAATTTTGGAGCAAATTTGGATGCTCAGAATGCAGGAAATGGCATTTCTGTGCTTCAAATTTCAAAAATTTTCTGGGGGAGTACCCCCCCCATTCATGCGTGGCATGTTGGCCTTCAGCTATTGCTATCGCCCTGTAATATATTATCTCACAGATAGGTCCCTTTTCAAAAAATGACACCCCCCCCCCCGGAAAATCCTTAAAAGAGGCCCAGACCTGTAGGATATTACATGGCGGCGTGAACATATATATATGACGTTTTATCTTTGAGTGGTGAAAACAATATTTTACAAACGCACGCAGCAAGTGAGTAAAATAATATTGTTTTTACACTAGAAGATAAAAGTCGTATCTTCAAGCAAACGTGTAGCTGCATGTATTAAATGTTCTGCTTATTAATAATTATTATATAGTCCCAAGCATTCGAAAAAGTCAATTGATCAATATCCTCACTAGTGAAGATATGGAGAATATGTCACTGTGTATTTCTCAGTACTCACTCTCTGCTATATAATAAATGAGAATACAAGCGGTACAAAGGTATATACTATATAGCTTACCTATTTGTGCCCAAAGTAAACAAACATGTAGATATTTTTATTATATATACACCCCCCTGAAAGGCGCCATCCCATAATCCTCCAGTGGCTTTTCTGCTCCGACAGTATTTATTTAGCGCGAAGATTCAAAGCTAGAGTTTTAATATTTTGGTGGAAAAAACTATAATATATAATCTTTAAAAATATTTGAAGATTTTTATTTCTTTGTAATGAATTATATGACGAGAAAGTCCTGAAGGAATCTGGCAGCGAAATGTTCCGATCTCCGTGCACAATTTGCACTGATCTATTGACTTGTGATAACTTGGCTGCTTGCCCCTGTATCCTTTTATTTATAGTTTATAATCAAAGTCTTTTAACATGAATAACGAGGATTTTTAGTACGAATTCGAAGTTGATTTGAGTTTGGTGTATTAAAGACATGTAGTGGGTGTATTAAGACATGTTTAATAAACTCATGACAGTAATGTGAGAGTTGTAAATGTAAGTTTTTTAATATAAAACAGAATAATACCTTGGTGCTTGGAAATACCAGATTTTTTTCTGGTGTTGAACATGATATCTCATTGGTTCGCTGCGCTCACTGGTGAGATATCATGTTCAACACTCGAAATTATAAATCTGGTATTTCCGTGCACCCATGTATTATTCTCTATTTATTATATAAATTAGTACCAGTATAGTGCTTTATAAAGATTTCAAGCCCTGATAATCTAACTGACAATCTCACCTGCAGGGCTGCAAATTACTGTCGGACATCGGACAATGTCCGACTAAATTTGGCAAATGTCCGAGCAAAAGTAATTTTGATTGGACATTGGTCTGATCACAAAAAAATTGTCACATTATACATTTTTTTGCTGTCACAAAATCCGATTGCAAATTCATGCAATTTGCATTTTGCAATAATATTTATGAGGCATTCTAGCATTTAACTTAACGTTGCAACGTAATGGCTATACATACTTTTCTCGTGACTTATATATATCTTGTGACGTATACTGTATATGTCTGACCAAATTTAGTGGTGTTGGTTTTTGTCCCACCAAATTCAAGTTATGTCCGACCAAAATTAAAAGTGATCGGACAAATGTCCTGTCAAGTCAAATATTTATTTGTAGCCCTGCACCTGTGAGATTATTTATCATAATTTTACATGTGTCGCTTTTCTGTGAAAATTATCATTTTTGAAAGACTGCCCTTTATATAATAAAAAGAAAAATAAACAGGTGCACAGAAATACCAGATTTATTTCTCGTGTTTCATCATGTTCAACACTCTGGTATTTCTGCGCACCCATGTTCTATTCTCTATTTAAAAGTGGCAAATAATGCACCCTACTTTGTTGTTTTACAATGAAAATTGGCCACTAAGTTACCAAAAACTACTGTAACAATTGATTCAACATTTTCGAGTTCTGAGATAAAGCAAAGGCTCTCAGCTTCAAGTCCCTGAACACATTACAGGACCAATCAGCACATCTTTTTAACCAATTACCAGAAGAAATTAGGAACTGCAGAGACTACAGAGTATTCTACAATGAAACCAAGAATTTCTTAGTCTTGAAAGCAATTATTGGTCAAGACTTGGATAATCTTAATTATATATAGTTTCGTACAGTTTTATTCTAACTTAGTTAATTCGTAATTTTGTAAATAATATTTTGTCCTGTCGAACGTGCGTTATATATTCAAAGTTATTGCAGTAATATTCGTAAAATAGTTTATAGACTTTATGAATACTTTATAATTTATATAATTTGGTAAGCGAAGAGCCACTCTGTGAATACTGTATATTACCAATAAATCATTATTATTATTATTATTATTACTTTGTCTAATGCCAGAGTCCAAGGGAGAGTGTTGGCACTCAATGGGGTTAAACAAAATATTTTTCTTTAACTTACTTGATTCATCAGGTGGCCATGTATATCATAACAATTGGTAAGTATTCTTACATGTAATAATTATAAGGCTGATAATTCCACATACATGACAAGAGCAAATTTACTCAATTTTTTGAGTAAGTTCCAAGTAAGACCAAGTTTACTGATAATGTTACAATTTTCCTCAGTATATAGTCATCACAATTAGTATTAAAGATTTACTAAAAAATGATCAAATTTGTTCGTAAATTTGAGCAATTTTACTAATTAATATTTTTAGCCATTTTGGGTGCATTAACGTTTTTGAGCCAATGAAAATTTT